TAGTAATTTATATATAGAACCGCGTCACGTTTCACTATGATCATTCTTCAGTTGACTGGAGAATCGTCAATTAAACAAAAACATTTCCAATTAGCTTCACTTTATATTATAATTTCATGCAGTCCAATAGGCATTGTCCTCTGAGTAAGTGAGAAAGCAGATTCTTTTTATATAATGAATATTAACATCATTTAAAACTATATAAGAATGACTTTACGGCAAGCTTTTATTAAACATCCCGCTTTTAAAAAGTACTCTAAAGCGTATAAATGAGGGTTCTACCACAAAATCCCGACATCCGACGTGACAATTATATTTAAAAATTAATAATCACATTAACAATCATTATCAGACTTCAAATTTTAATTGTCACATCGCATGATGTAAGTATTATGCTGTTATGACCTGTCGAGATTTACACCAGCCAATCGGACGAAAGTACTCCTATGAGTTATCCATCCGGCCATCCGCCAAATAAAATAAAAACAAACGGTTATCCGTATCTGACTTTATAAAACGGGTAACTGGATACCAGGTCCAAGGTAAATTTTAGGTAATACGTATATGCGAGTTATAACTCTGGATCGAATTATAGCGTCTTTTATCTGATTGATGAAACACAATTATTAACGGTATATAGTTGGAAATTGATAAGAGGTACGTACATCATATTACGCAAATTTATTATATCATTTAGGAGCCCTTAGAACAAATGTAAGAATTACATTATTTGACCCGATACTTACACACATATATGATTACTAATTATTTCCTATGACGAATGATTATTACTTATCACGCCGCATAATCTGGAAACCAAATTTTAAACTTATTAATTTGCTGATCATAAGCTTAAGTTTTTGCTAATAGGGGGTTTCCCGATTTTAAATTTTGAAATACACATTTGTCAACTTTGAAACCCCCTAATATTACAATTCTTATTGTTATTACACAAAAATGATAAGAAGTAATTGAAGATAATAATTAATAATACTTTACTAAACTTGTCCATCTCTAGAACACAATACTTTTTTTAATTGATAGGAATCCGCCAGCCCATATTCAATTGGATAGATCCCAGGTATGAATCGAAAATCGATTAGTCATTTAGTTGGCTGAGTTGGCAGCTAATCGATTATTACAAATTTTGCACGACTTTTAGGCGATTTCTAAATGATTTCTGATTTCTTAAACAACTCCAATATGACAATTCCATGCCTAGATAGTTTTAAGAAATTAGAAATCACCTAGAAATCGCCTAAAAATCGAGCGATTTCTTTTTTTCTTGATCTGCAAAATTTACAAAATTTTGCAAACCGCAATAACTAGTTAACACAATAATCGATTTTTAATCGATTTTTTAAAAAATATTCAACCAACTTATCGATTACATTTTTTTCACCGACCATATGGTACAATCCATGGAACCAAATAGCATACATTGTAAAATCTTATTAAAGTAAGCCTGAATTCGTAATTTTGACGTCAATGACATTAATAATTTTGGACAATCCAATAATGGTCGTCACATTGCCGTAACTATAGTAAGTAGTGATTAATTTCAATCCCAGATTTTGATTTATTTATAGACATTGTTATAAATTTTTATGCGAACAAGGTTACATGTTTTTAATTCAATTCGCCAAATTATCTTCTGATTGGTTGCGATTCTATTTTTAGAACACTATGTCTTCGAAGAATTGAATTTTCAATAACTTATTAAGCTAATATAAAATAAAATGCTTCATATAAATAAGGACCAATCTTCTTTCAATTTGAATTGAGAATCCTAAAATTGATTAAAAAGCGCCAAAGACTGGTTTTCTTAGTCCATTCCTCATATTACATTGCTATAGTTACGGCAAGTTACGGAAATGTGACGAAATGTGACGACTATCATTGGGACGACTATCATTGGGACGACTATCATTGGGACGATTCTACTACATCACTAATCTGAACCATACTGGAACCAAAATTTTGAGGCAAACTCCGGCCCATGCGAGTCCAATTCATGGATAATCCAGCTCATTGCAGAACCTCTCAATTTACTATCGTCTCCAGAAGAAGTAATCCTCTGGGGATACCACATCAACCTCACACAAAGTACAGACAAACCATATTAATCAAATCGACAAATTTAATTAAACTTGGAACAGTTGACAACATATATCATGATATGAAATCAAAAAAGGATACGCATTGATGTTGAAATTGATATCTTTTGTAACACAAAATTGATAAGAAGTACGATAATGCAAAACGACAAAATTAATTTCGATATAGGAATAACAATCGAAAAAAATTTTTTTTTTAGCAACTCAAATATTCCAAATATTCTAAATATTCTAAATACATGTTATTCTCGATATCGATATAAAATATATTGTTTAATTACGTACGTACATCGATAACCACTTGTAACCCTAAAAAAGGAATAGTGCAACAGATACGTAATAATATATATATTATACGTATATATAAATAAAATTAATAAGTATATTATGAATCTGTTCCACATATTTTTCTTATTTCATAACGAAAATATACGTACGTACGTACGAATTATTTATTTGACTCTTTGAGTCGATTAAAAATTTAAGATTTGGTTGGTCGATCAAAAACTCGGCTGACAAGACAGATCCAAGAACAATGGTTATTTAGCGTTGCACGAACCGATTTTAAAAACTTTAATCTTAGATATTAACTAATATTAAAGCTTTTTAATAAACGTGAGTACTCACGCACGCACATACATAAATATGAACTAATAATTTCTGATGGTTTAATTGTTGATTTCTTTGATATGTTAAGGAAATTTTACTAGATTAGGGAATAATAGACATTTTGGGTATACATTTTTTATATTATTTTATATTATAATGCATACATACAATACAAGCACTGACAAACTGACAATTTTAAAACACATTAATCTTCTTAACTATAATTTCGTACAATACTAAGAATATTCACCATATTTTGGGGATATTTTATCTTTAAAAAGAAATGATGAACAATCAAATCACGAGATAATGAAAAAAATTTACAGCATCATTACTATATATTTGTTCAATTACCATATAAATTTGTCTATTTTTTTTTTATCGTTCGCCACGCAAAAATGTTTGTTAAAAAACTTAGTGTAGAAACTGGTGTATCAGAACCGGTTCTTCGATTATTACTTACAATTTTATTTGCTTATCCTATATCTCTCATATACAGATTAACACTCGTTCGTCCTTTAAAAACAAAATGGGCTCCATTTATTCGTAACCTTTATGTTGTCATTACTGGCCTTTCTCTTAATTATTTTTTCAATGGGCCTCACATCAAACATTCATTAATAACCACTTTTGTAACTTGGCTATTCTGCTATTTTGGAAATATTTTTGGGAACCGAGTTTTATCCGCCATTGCTTCCCTTCTTTTTAACATGATTTATCTCATTGTGGGCTATTACATGACTGCGACTGGTGACTACGACGTAACCTGGACTATGCCACAATGCGTTCTTTGCTTAAGAATGATAGGTTTCGCTATGGATTTCATGGATGGTGAAAAATTATTAAAGTCCAAACCACCTGTTAATGCCAAGGAAAATATCACTAATACTAACGAAAAGAGCATTGATACAAAGAAAGATTTACAACAAACTGATTCTTCAATTAATACGCGTCCACCGAAACAACCAATCTCATTCGAAAAGAATGTTCAAATAGCAACATTACCACCTTTAATTGAAACTATTGGATATGCTAATTTCTTTGGTGCTTTCCTCATTGGTCCACAATTCTCTTTTCATCTTTATCGAAAATTTATTACTATGTCATTATACCCTGATCCTATAAATGTTCCTCGAGGGTCTTATTGGTTTGCATTGAAAAGTTTCTTACTTGGTGCGTTATATTTAGGTGTACAACAAGTTGGTTCTGGATATTTTCCACAAGCCTATTTGTTAACTGCTGAATATGCTGCTAAACCTTTTATTCATAAATTAATAATAATGTGGTGGACTGGAAAATTTATTCTTTCAAAAGTTAGTAATAATTGCAATAATTTTTAATTATTATAGGTTAATAAGTTAATTTGAATACAATTAAATTTATATATTTATATGTATGTAGTATCTTGGAGTCTGGACATTATCTGAAGGCGCATGCATTCTGTCAGGCATTTCTTTTAATGGTTACGACGATAATGGAAATCCAGAATGGAATGGTTTATCAAACATTGAAAAGGTAACGAACAGTTCGATATTACATATATTATTATATTACTAAAAAAAGATTGTTTTTAACACTATTCATTATATTTTATTTATTATATTTAGTGGAAGTTTGAATTTGCTACATCTCTTTCACAAATAATTGGATCTTTTAACACAAACACCAATTTATGGACAAAGCTTTACATATTTAAACGACTTATCTTTCTTGGGAACAAACAATTATCTTCCATAGTATCATTAATATTCCTCGCTGTTTGGCATGGTCTTCTTCCTGGTTACTATATTTGTTTTAGCTTGGAATTTTTTGATATAGAAGCTGAAAAACGATGGGCAAAAAGATTTGAAAAATATACTAAACCATTATATCTTCCTCAAAATAATTCTAATTCTAAGATTATGTTTGGAAGATATTTACATCAATTTATTGGTTGGTTGGGTCAAACTTGTGGATTACATTATGCTATCATTTCATTTGGTTTATTGAGATGGGATTATGTCGTTTCTGCTTATAATTCCGTATATTGGATAGGTCATTTGGTAGTTTTCGGTTTGTTGTTGCTTGATCTCATCTTACCAAAACCAAAAGTTAAAAAAGTCGCTAAGGCCGATAAAGAAACTAATGGTACCACTAAGGTTGATAAAAACATTGATAGGATTAATGGTTATATCAGAAATGACGCGAAAATCGAAAGATAGGTGGTGAAATGTAAGGGTGAAGAGAAGATCTTATGGCATTAAACGTTGATTAGACTTTACATAAATTGTTTTTTTTTTTTTTTTTTTTTGGTTTTAATCAGCAAATAATGTATATTATTCATTGTATTAGGACATTTATGTGAACAGTAAATTAGGCCATGCAAAATTAATTAATAACCTGGCCGGTTCAAATTTTGAAAACTTGTGAAAAATTTTTTTATATGTTTTATATATGAAATTTAAAAAAAAAAAAAGAAGCCATCCGGTCGGGTCTATTTAAATGTTTCATGTTATAAAACCAAGATACAACTCACTCTCGTTATAATGGAATTCTCAAAAAATCTTCACTATAGCTTATATTGAGAGAATACTATATGTACTTCACTATATCGAGTTGAAGTTTAATAAATCCGTAATTTAAATTCTTCACTATATCAAATCTTCACTATAACAAGAGCTGTATTAAATTTTGTGGCCTTCCTTGATTACTTCACGTTTGACATCACATGCTATCATTATTGTTATCATTATCTTTATCATTATAGCATTATCAGCATTAATCGTAACTGATTAATATGTCATGTGACTTGTTTGTTTACTTGAAAAGAATCGCGTTTGTTTATAAATACAGATCTTTTAATAATTTTCGAATTTATTTTCTTCAAATATTATTGACATAAAACCAATGGAAAGCGAAGCACAACTTTCATACTACCATCCGAAGAAATCTATGATTAAAGAAATATCTGAAAAAAATGATAAAGACAAAAGAAACGCGCTACTTCGATTTCGATCAACCACCATTGCTATTAATATACCTTTATTCGGATTTCTCGCGTCATTCACTTCTTTTCTAAAGAATCCACATCAACATCAACCTCAAAAGAAGTCCATCAATTTATTTCTTGTGACTTGTTTTGGATTCTGTGCAATACTTGGATTATATCATTTTGGTTATAATAATTCTGCCACTAATATTATTATTCCAACTTCAAGTATTGCTTCTGCAAATGACATTACTCAAAATAATATAATTATTCGAGGTGTCAGTATGAATGTCACGTTACAGGAATTTGGTATGACAAAATTTGACAAGATTCACACAAACGCTACATCAAATACTAGTCACGCAATGTTTTTAGATTGTTCTCCAATTTCGGCATCAGTTGTAGTTGATAATAAAATTAATCTTAATGATGGGTTGAATAAATTTAAGGAAGAATTGGATAATGTCATCTCTTTCTTTACGAGTCTAAATTCTCAACCAAGTGATTCTGAAATTTTAAGTATAGATATTGGAAAAGATGATGTAGATGATGGTGTTAAGCAATTGGTGTGTATGTCTAGTATGCCTAGTACAAGGGTTAAAGCCCGAAGGGAGAACGTGAATGGTTTTACAGGCATGCGACTTGATAAACTTCAAATCTGATTTATCACCTTTTATCTTTACGAGATTCTGAAAATCTGTATATTAGAATAAGATGTTATAGATTCTTTGATGCAAAGTACATATGCTGTATATTTAGAGAAATAAATCTTTATTCTATTACTGTGAGATATAATTTTTTTTTTTTTTTTTTTTTTTTTTTTAATGTGATAATGCGAGCTGGACTATTTACGGATTATTATCATGTTTAACATGTTTAAATATTAGCCAAAATTGTATTGCAATCGGTCAAAAACAAAAATATGGATATAACCTCTATGGGATTGTTTCTGTATAAAGAATACAAAAGTTTATGGTTTTTAAATCACAAAGTAGTATAGTCACAAGTTCTGTATTAAGGATCTAAATGTGAATGTAGCGACGAACCTTTCAATAATTGTAAAATAGCATTCAATTATCATATGAACTATAGATGTAACTTGGAGATGATTTAAAGACTAGAATTTGATTTATATCCGAATAGCATACATACTGTGTCTTAAAAGAATAGTATTATACTTTGGAAAATAACCAGGTACATTTTTAATCCTTGTAAATACCCAGATACATCGGTCAGCACTTGGCAGTATTTCGAAGTACAGGTCCCCTCATACATATCAATTTTAATATGATTTCTCATTAATATCACTATCAACATGATTTAAAATCAATTCAAATAGGTTGATATTAACGAGGGTAACATGTATTACTTTGTAACAAACTTAAGATTTTATATCCAAGAAGATTGGAAATATACGAAAGCTATTTATGTATACATGTCAATCCAAGTCATTGGTCTTTTTTTTTTTGTGAAAGAATAGTAGTGCTACTGTTTCGAGATAGAGTGCTAATTCTGTTTCAGTTATTTCAGGCTCGTTTTAGTAATGACTAGTTCTTCTTGAGATGAAGCCTTGCACTTGATTCTGCTGAATCATATGATGATTCGCCGTTTCTAAAATCAGTTCTACATAAAAAATAAGGAAACAATAAAGTATATAGATTTACAATATAACATTCGAATTGACGTTTCATTATTTTCTCACTACATACGATACTTTTTTGCGCATCAGTATGAATAGGTGAATCTTGCGATTACTGATATCCAAAAAATTCCATCATTTTTTATTGTTCAAAAGTTAGTTACGTTTTTGATTCTATTGCTATTTATTTTAACTTTCAATGTATCAAACCCGCAGTTTTGCATCAATAATATCACGTTATCTAATTGATTACATATATGATATAGTGATATCATGAAAAAAATGTATATAATTCGCGATTCTTCAAAAGAATCTATCTTTGCATTGTTTCAAATCTTCATGTCTCAGTCTGATCATCTTGCCGCAGCACCTAATCCTCAAAACCTCGATCAATTCCACTCAAAATTAAAATTTCAATCCCTTGAGATCATTAACCAAATTTTTCCTCGTAAAATTTTAGAATTAAATAATTTATCACAATATCAAAAAGACGGTTCTGTAACTAACTTCAAATTTCCTTCTTTGGTTCAAAATGATGATGTAAAATCCCGTAAACGACGTAGAGATGAGATCAATGATCATTCTCAAATTGTTGAAGACGTAAAAGACGCTAATGATGCCTTGTGTGATGCTATTCGTACAAAGAATAGTGATCGTATTGATAACAACGATAACACAGATTTCTTGAATAATGGAAATGATTATTTTCGTATCAAGGAGTTACACAAAATTCTTGAAGATGAAGTTGCTTGTTTTGCTGGATATTGTTGTAAATTGAGAGCTTGGGTTACTCTTAAATATCCAAGGTTCGATTATGCTAGATAATTATTAATTATCTCTTAAAAATTGTTCTAATCTTCCTTATCTGGTGATAGAATTGGTACTGAAGAAAATCCAAAAATTTCTGCTCAAGAAGGTATATATATGTCCATTTACATATAAACTTATTTAAAAAATCTTTTATCACCTTGTATACTTATGGTTACAATATTCAGATATAACTGCCGAATTATCACGTGTCGAAAATAGTTCGTTTTTATTCTTAGACAGTATTACAAGATATTACGTGGCCCGTACAAAATTATACAAGTAAGTTGCAACCTTAATTGTAATAATCATATCATTAGCCTACATATATATCTACTTTATACTTACCTTTCCCTTCGTTAATGTCTTTCTTTAATGGATCCATTCATAAAGGACATGTCACAAATTTCCAACAATTCAAGACAGTTATCATGCACTTAACCACCTCGATAAGCAACATTTGATTAGTATTCTTCATCATCTTGAAGACATGTGCAATATCTATGTTATCATTTATGATATGTTACAAAAAAATATGGTTTATCTAACTTGATAGATTAATTAACACAGTTGCTTCCTATTTTGGAATAGTTTGCACTTTTACGAATAATAATACAAATTAAACTTTGCATACTGGCAAAAATTTTATATAAAATTACATTTTTTTTGAATTTAAAACTTTATAGTTTATTTTAGTTTTAAACAATAAATCCTAGTAAAAAAAAGTTAAACCGCATTTTCGGGCTATTTTTCAGTTTCATAATTTCTGATTCAAAAACATTAGCTTTCAATGATTGTAATCGTTCTAAATTAAAAAAACTACCATATTGCTCGCTTAACACTAGTCAACATATAACCACAATTATAACCACAATGATTTTTAAAAATAAGAAGTTTGCTACCCACTGGTCTGGTGTATAGATAACCAATTAATTTGTAAGATTAGGCGTAAATCAATTTTGTATAACAATGCAAAAGATTTTTAAAATAAATTATATGGGTGAGTTAGTAGAAAAGAAACAAATCATTTTAGTAAAATTTTTTTAATTTTTAAATTAAAATATCCTAATATTAATCGGATTTTTATTATTTATTAGACAACTAACATCAATACTAAATACAATCAACTCTTTTCAGCCCATCCAATGTTAACTCTGTTTAAGATATTATCTAAACTCCAACAGAATTAGTAATTATTGTACAATTAACATCTCAGCTATTATTTTTTAATACAATTTTTTAGAAAAATTTTCTTTAATAATCTTTACTTTCATGTCAACTACAGTATATTGATCTTATTTACTCTATAGCAATTAAATATTCTATTTAAATCTCTATTTTATTCTTAACTATTCTGTTGCATTGTGAATATTTGAGCCTAAAAATATATCTTCAAGCTTAAGCAATTTTTCAATACTAATTTTATATAATCTTAATTCAACTTTATATAGATAGATCTACAATT